GGGGCCACCCCCAGCCCCGCCTGTGACCCCCTCCTCCGCGCAGCCACCGTGTTCCTGGAGTTCTGGAAGCGGCAGCGGGCCCGCGTCGTGCTGGACTGGGACCTGTACGGGTGGGACGAGGACCAGGTGAGCGGGGCCAGCAGGGCTCCCTCCCAGCAGCCTGTGGCCACCCCTGGTCTGTGTGCGTGTTCTCGCCTCGGAGGTGGTTCCCATGCCTGAGGCGTGTGCCCCGTGTCTGAGGCCTGTATCCTGTATTGGAGGCGCGTGTCTGTGTCTGAGGCCTGTGTTCCATGTGTGAGGCATGTCCCATGTAGGAGGCGGTTCCCATGCCTGAGGCATGTGCCCCGTGTCTGAGGCATGTGCCCCGTGTCTGAGGCGTGTGCCCCGTGTCTGAGGCGTGTGCCCCGTGTCTGAGGCGTGTGCCCCGTGTCTGAGGCGTGTGCCCTGTGTCTGAGGTGTGTGCCCCGTGTCTGAGGCGTGTGCCCTGTGTCTGAGGTGTGTGCCCCGTGTCTGAGGCGTGTGCCCTGTGTCTGAGGTGTGTGCTGTGCCCCGTGCCTGAGGTGTGTGCCCCGTGTCTGAGGCGTGTGCCCTGTGTCTGAGGTGTGTGCCCCGTGTCTGAGGCGTGTCTGGTGCCCCAGGAGGAAGTGGCGCTGGAGCTCATTAACTGCCCGGACTACAAGCTGCAGCTGCACCAGCACTCCTACCTGCGGAGCACCATCATCCTCATCCTGTCCCTGCTCATGGTACTGCCGGGAGCTGGGGGGGGGGGGCAGGGGACCAGGCGGCCACCCCTCTGAGCCCCCGGCCCCCGCAGATCTGCCTCATGATCGGCATGGCTCACGTCCTGGTGGTCTACCGCGTCGCGGCCGCCGCCGTCTTCAGCAGCTCGGCCCTGCCCTTCCTGGAGGACCAGGTGACCACGGCCGTGGTGGTGGCGGGGGCCCTGCGAGCCCCCCATAGCGAGCCCCCCATAGGGAGCCCCCCATAGGGAGCCCTCCATAGCGAGCCCCCCATAGCGAGCCCCCCATAGGGAGCCCCCCATAGGGAGCCCTCCATAGCGAGCCCCCCATAGCGAGCCCCCCATAGGGAGCCCCCCATAGGGAGCCCTCCATAGCGAGCCCCCCATAGCGAGCCCCCCATAGGGAGCCCCCCATAGGGAGCCCTCCATAGCGAGCCCCCCATAGCGAGCCCCCCATAGGGAGCCCCCCATAGGGAGCCCTCCATAGCGAGCCCCCCATAGCGAGCCCCCCATAGGGAGCCCCCCATAGGGAGCCCTCCATAGCGAGCCCCCCATAGCGAGCCCCCCATAGGGAGCCCCCCATAGGGAGCCCTCCATAGCGAGCCCCCCATAGCGAGCCCCCCATAGGGAGCCCCCCATAGGGAGCCCTCCATAGCGAGCCCCCCATAGCGAGCCCCCCATAGGGAGAGCCCCCCAGGGAGCCCTCCATAGGGAGCCCTCCATAGCGAGCCCCCCATAGCGAGCCCCCCATAGGGAGCCCTCTGTGTCGCCCACAGGTCAACAAGTATGTGGCCCTGAAGCTCTGTGACTACGGTGAGAGCCGCCCTCCCCGGCTGCTGGAGGCGGACGAGGCAGACCTGGTGGGGGTGGGGGCGACCCCGCCAGCTCGCTGCCTCTCCCCAGGGGCGGGAGTGGCACTGGGAGAGCTGAGGGTGGCAGGAGGCCCTGAGGGTCTGAGCAGGGGCGGAGGCGTGGGGCCGCCGTGGAGGGACGGGTGAGGGAGCCGTGTGTTCTCCCAGAGAAGTCCAGGACCTTCTCGGAGCGAGAGAGCAAGTTCACGGTGAAGTTCTTCACGCTGCAGTTCTTTGCACACTTCTCCTCGCTCGTCTACATCGCCTTCATCCTGGGCAGGTGAGCGCCTCCCTTCTCCTCCCCTCACTTAGCCTTGGGAATGCCTGCTCTCATATGTATATGTATATGTATATGTATATGTATATGTATATGTATATGTATGTATGTGTATGTGTATATGTATATGTATGTGTACGTGTACGTGTATATATGTGTGTATATGTATGTATATGTATGTATATGTGTATGTATACACACTAGGGGCCCAGTGCATGAAATTCATGCACAGGTAGGGTCCCTAGTGGCTGCTGGCCGGGGCCTCCCTTCGCACCTGCCTTGTCCTGGCGCCACCCGCTGTGTATGTGTGTGTGTATGTGTATGTATGTGTATGTGTGTGTATGTGTATGTGTATATGTATGTGTATGTGTGTGTGTGTGTATGTGTGTGTGTGTGTGTGTGTGTGTGTGTTCTATATGTATATGTATGTGTACGTGTACGTGTATATATGTGTGTATATGTATGTATATGTATGTATATGTGTATGTATACACACTAGGGGCCCAGTGCATGAAATTCATGCACAGGTAGGGTCCCTAGTGGCTGCTGGCCGGGGCCTCCCTTCGCACCTGCCTTGTCCTGGCGCCACCCGCTCACCTGCTCCAGCTCCCGCCGCGGTCCCAGCCTGCTGCCAGCGCGGCATCGTTGCCACCTGCCATGTTCCGCGCTGCCCCCTGGTGGTCAGCGCACGTCTAACTCCTGGTCGGTCGAACTCCCGCCCGTGGGGACAATTTGCATATATATTAGCCTTTTATTATATAGGATGTTTTCATTTATCTTAGAGAGAGGAAGGGAGAGGGAGAGAGAGAGAGAAACATCATTGATGAGAGAGAATCATGGATCGGCTGCCTTCTCTTCCTCTCCACTATCCCCCTCGTCACCCACACCCCCTCTGTCCTGCCCCACTACCCCCCGCCCCCCGTTGGGGGCAGGGTGCTGGGCTCAACCTGCCGTCGCTCCTAGGATCAACGGTCACCCCGGGAAGACCGTGCGCCTGGCGGGCT